ATGAAGAAAATCTCCCCTCCAAGAGCTCCAAAGTGGGCCAAGCCAAGTGAAAATGGGAGAAATGCGCCAAGTCCTGAATTATATCCATGTTCTCCCACGTCCTTCCTCTTCGCAATCGTGAAGGACAAAATTTACTGCCCTCCAAAATGGCCTACGCGAACGCAGACAACCAATCGCGAACGCGATGTTCTGTAACCCAAACCTACGCGATCGTGGATAGCCTCACGCAATCTCGATAAACAACGCGTGGAAATTCTCAGGCCTTTTGTTCCTTCTTCTCGAACAAGTCTCCTCTGACGCGTTCGCATAGCACAACCCTTCCAAGCTTCGCGATCGCAAACTTAATTTTGCAAATGCGTAGAACAAATGCTCACCAGCCAAACTTGACCCTTCGTGATCGCGGCCCTCTCCTCGCGATCGCGGAAGAGGAAATCAAATGCCCAGAAACCAAGAATTCAACAAAGTCCAAAATGATTCCGAACTTAATTCGAAACACACCCGAGGCCCTCGGGACCCCGTTCAATCACGCCAACAAGTCCCAAAATATAACACGAACTTACTCAAGGCCTCAAATCACGCCAAACAACATCAAAACTACGAATCGAGGATCGAAACCTTCTTTTAACTTTCAAACATTCAAACTTCGACGAACGCGTCCAATTCATACTTAAACATTCCGGAATGACACCAAATTTACACACAAGTCGCAAATCACGATACGAATCTTTTCCAAGGCTGGAAACCCCAAACGGATATCGATAAAACCAAAATCTACTTCAAATCAAACATAGCAAATTCTTAAACTTTAAAAATATCAACTTTCCATAATAAGCGTCGAAATGCTCCCGGACCACCCGATACTCTACCCGAACATACGCCCAAGTCCGAAATCATCATACAAACCTATTGGAAGCTTTAAATCCTGATTTCGGGGTCGTTTACTCAAAAGTTAAACCTTAGTCAATTCGTCCAACATAAAGCTTCCGAATTTTGAATTTCTATCCACATCAACTCTGAACTTCCCAAAATTTAATTCTGACTATGCGTACAAGTCATAAAATATGAAGTAAAGCTACTCAAGGCCTTAAACCGCCGAACGATGCGCTAGAACTCAAAACGACCGATCGGGTCGTTATAGTTGGTCTACGGTACAACGTAGGAACCGATTTTGCAGGCGAGCATGCTACAGGTTAGGACTTCCCTCACTTCCAGTGCTATTGGTGAGCTTCGCTTTTGTTCGTGGAGTATTTCTTTGAGTCGTCATTATTTAGCTATTTCTTTGTTTACTTGTAGAACTGGACAGAAAATCTCATGTCCTGAGAGTGCGTCAGTTTATCAGTAAAGGTTTCATAAACACAGTTGGTGGGCTAAGATTCATGTGTTTTTTATAATAAATTTACAGTATTTAAGTAGTTACTACGAATAAAGTTTTGGAGTGGGTTTATTTTAGATATTCAAATTAATTAAAAGTATTTGATTAAAGTATTACCTTGTTGCATATAAAGTTTGAAGTTATAATGATTTTGATAAGCGCAGATGGTTCGCTCGGTCAAATTTAGCGATCGAATGCCGGTCACTGCTTGTTCAGAAAATGGATCGTGGCAGATATGCAATTGATTAATGAACTGAAGTAGCTATTGTATGGGGTAACATTAATAAACGATAGGTGGATGTTCAACGAGTTGACACATGGAAGTAAAGTTAGGTAAGATATGAGTCAATAAATAGTTAGCACCGGTTACCAATATTTGACCGATGCTGAATACGTTTCGAAGGTATTGGAACCGGGAACGAAGATTTGAAAGGAAAAGATCGATTGGAAAAGATAGTATTCAATGAGCAGCCATTACAAAAAAAACTCTTTATTAATATTCAACCATTATGTAGTCGTCAAGAAGGGGTTTTTCCTATTAAAGAAGAGTTTGATTTGGGGATCTTGTCTCCCTGAAATAAGCTATAAATAGGAAAATTTGTATCCATTGTAAGATATGAAAAAATCATCTGTACACAAAAGCCAAAATTTATTCTTATTCTATTAAACTACTTTCTCTCTTTTTATTCTTGATATTGCTCTTATTATTGCTACCGGAGAAGCTGAGCCCACAGTCAGACTTGTATTTTTTCTTTAATTTATTTTAATCAATGTATTTCAGTTCTTAATTAATTTATATTTTTGGGTCAAATTAATTCACGTGTCTATAAATCACGTTATAAATTTAATTGTACCATTTTGCGGATAAACAACTATAATATTTTTTCAATACACTCAACCATTCTCAGCCTACAGAATTTAGTTTCAATCAATTAAAAGACTGATTCATATCGTCCTTTCCTTATTAGTCACCTGCGTGCTAATTTCTTTGGAAAGGAAATAAATTTGTCTCAACTGTAAAAATACACTGAGGATTAGTACTAAGGACTCGATTTATGTTGACAACTCGACATCAGTGTAATTCAGTAAGGTTCACTTATGAGTTATGAGTGATAAAGAATAAACGAAAACAAAATTAAGATGATATATTATAATGACAAAAACTGATTGATCCAGGTTAACCTTTGCTTGAATAATTAATGAACTCATACCTTTCAAAACCTTTTAAACTTTGTCAGATCCTTGATTACATTACTTCTCTCTTTTTTTCTTTTTTTTCTTTTTTTTGATTGATTACATTAGTGAACAGACAACTTATTCATTTATCATTTAATGCTAACAATCTGCAAATTCAAACAACATTTATTAATTATGAAGAAGAAAAATAGATGAATTAGTCGCGATCCTTTTCTGGAAGAATTAGTAAACACGTATTCGATTATTGTGGTGATAGTTTTCAAATCAAACTGCAATAGCCCACCAGACTCGGTATTGAGTACTCTTAAGTTTCTGATTACATATTATTCCAGATATCAGAAGGTACACAAATAAATACTCTGGGGCTCAATATAGGTGAGTTTAGTTAAATTATTTTCGTCTAAAATATGTGTAGCTTTAGAAAATCAAGAAGATATATATTATTATTATTTTTCTTTCAAAAATATCGTTGCTCCAATAAATAACCTAAAGAGTTTTAGAAGAAATCAAAGAAATTTGAAAGGATATAGAGGGTAATTTGATCAAATAAGCTTTACGATTAATGCTTGAACAGATAATTTTCCTAAATTGATGTGTTAAAATGCTTACCAACAGTTACATTGAAATGAAGGAAATAGGATAGGAAAAGTCATACTTGTGAAGTCCTTCAGCTTTAGACCACAACAATCGTTGTCGCTATTGTATTTACTTTTGGTTTTGGAAATTGAGAGATGTCTCTATAATTCCACTCAATGTCCCAATCTAATTTAAATGTTGTTTTAGCTAAATAAACTTGGTCCAAGATAAGTATATCTTTTATGACACCAGAAGATACACCACTATTGCGTAATAACATATATTCCGTCAATGCATAAAATATTAAATTATGGTGGATGTCCGTAATAGGAGTAATACTCACTACTCTTCTCCATTATCTCCATAACTCCCACTATTCTGATATTTATGGAATTATGATTGTAACTTTATTATCTCCCTCATGATCTTCCTCCATAATCTCAAATGCTTAATGACATGTTGAATAACATGTTTACGGCATTCTTTGGTATACCTTTATGTAATACTATAAATAGAGGATGGGACGTGATATTGTATATGCTTGAAAAATACACTTGAATACATGGAAGAAATAAGAATCTCTCCTCTCTTTCTCTCTATATCTCTTAGCTTGTTTTTCCTTGTTCTATATTATTACTTTTAGTTATATTTTATAACATATTCATATTTATAGCTATGCTACTTATATTTATTTCTGTGCTACTAAGGTGAAAATAGAAAATGAGGGTAATATAAAAGATTACTTCCTAATTCGGGGTAGGAGCTAGTGTAAGAATTACGGATTCGTAGCTTTGGTCCAAACTTTATATTAGCTTAAAAATTCGTTGAATATGTATAAATTATTAATTTAGAACCCAATAACTTGAAATGACTAGAATCCCAAAATCATAAACTTTGAATCCTGGCTCCGCCTTTGCATCATGTAGTATTGATTAGGGTTTATTCTTGAATCTTGATCATTAGGGGTGCTTATCAGGCGGATTGGCCAGATATTTATACTAACGGTTTGGCTTATCAATTATCGGTTTAAAAATATAATAATTCGCTAGCCAACCAATAAGACATTGGACAGATTGGTATCGAATTAGGGATTATCGGACGATTTATCAGATTAGCAATTAAGAAAAAATTTAGAGTAAGCATTACATCTGCATTGACTTGGCAATGATTCTAGATGAAGTAAATGAGGCCCTTTGTATTGAAAACTGAATTGACTGAGTAAGACTAGAAAATAGAAATTGAACCACAATAAAAGCGCTCTTCAAAGCTGAACTAACTAAGTAAAGCTAAAATTTCTTGACTTTGCTTTGTCTTTGAAAATCAAATTCATTCAAAGCTGGAGTGGGTGTAGTATTTGGGCAACGAGATACTTGTATATACGGAAGTAGCTGACTAGCAGTACTACTCTGCCGCAACTAACTTGAATCCAATCCTACATCAAGGTCTATATATGTTACCAGATCATTACGGGTTCCATATACCTTAGACCGACCAATAAATATTACTCCCTCCGTTCTAGTTTATGTGAATTTATTTCCTTTTTGGTCCGTTCTAAAAAGAATGACCCTTTCTCTAAATTTGGAAATAATTTAGCTTAAACTTATAATTCTACCCTTAACGAGAAACTTTTATAACCACACAAATACTCTGGCCCCTTTTTGATTTGTCTAGGACCACAAATTTTAAAAGTCTTCATTTTTTCTTAAACTCCGTGTCCGGTCAAACATGTTCACATAAATTGGAACGGAGGGAGTACTACTTTATATAAATAAGGGTAAAAGTATAAATGTAAAAATTCTTAACGGGTTAACGGTTTATCATATAAGGAAAATGAATAATCCGCCCTCAACCGTTAAGCCGTTAATTATAAAATTTTAATTAATTCACCAATCATTACCCCGATAACCCGATACCAATAAGCCAATAAACCGTTTTTATAATTACGGTTCGATCTTGAACAACCTATTGATCATCAACTACCCCTTGCATTCAAATCCCAATGCAGCAGCCAGTTGCCTCTGTATATAATTAGCCACCTCATGGCTAGACTTTCCACCAGCACAAGTCAACTCTTTGGGCACTTTTCCAAGAATCTCAACAGTGTAAGAAGGTCTTGGATTCATCAAAAAGAAAATAGGGTCCAAACATTTGAGTCCACTAGCAGTAGTCCCATAAAACATGCTCACATTTGTGTTCATAGCCACAGGTACAATCTCATCAGCTAATTCTGCAAACAAAGAGCTGAACCTTAAAAGATATGGCTCCCTGCATGTGGTTCCTTCTGGGCAAACCACTAAGTCACCTGTAAGATAATACAAATAACACACAAAATAAGAAGAAAGTCTCGAGGCATGAAAAAAACTACAGCACATTGCATATCCAGCTACTGTATGTTGACACTTTACTTTATTACATCTCATGAAAAACATAGGTATATTTATAGAGATGAAAGAAAGTTATTCGAAATAGTCATCTTATTTAATGAATACAGATGTCTTTTAAGTTTATATTTAAATAAAACATAATGTACCAAACCTTTTACTCCATAAAGTCATCAAACTCATTTTAACCTTTAGATATGGGACAATCCCACTTCAAATTTATTACTACAAAGTATTCCCTCCGTTTTATTTTATATTGCGGTGTGTGAATACAAATTAAGAAAGAAAGAAAGACAGCCTTTTGGTTTTAAACATACCATGACCATTCTATGACTATTATAATAGTACGTCAGTAAAAACAAAACAGAAAGTCTAAAGGTATCAGAATAAAAAGAAAAAGAGTGGTATCATACTATAAAATAGACAGCGAGGAGTATCTTAGATCACCTTCACTCAGAAATCTCTTCATGGCCTCAGCATCTTTGTTTCTTGATCTTGTCAATCTCACAGTTTTTATAGGAGCAAGAATCTCAGCCATTTTGCTTAAGCTGTAAGTCACTGCAGTCAAAGGTTTTCCCAAGGACGTACAAAGGAAAAGAGGGTCTAAAAGGGTCCTATGAGTGCAAACATAGAGAACTCCTTTCCCATTTTCTGATGTTAGAGGATCAGTGCCCTTTAATCTGAGCTTCATACCACTTAAAGTGCACAAGAAAATGGTTATATTGTAAGGCAAGTATATCCCAATGAAGACTCTGACGATTGCTAGTAATATTCCAATTGGAAGCCACATGAACATGGTTAATGTTGCAAGAGGAGTGGGAAGAAAAACTAGCCTTCCATCATGAAACACTACAGGCTTTGGGTATTTCTCTCTTGGCAATACTGAGCTGGTTGTTTCCTCTTTGTTGACCACATAAGCTTGCTGTTCAAATTAAATGGCAGTTCAGTATGTAGTTTCTAAATTTATTTCCAAAATTTTGAAAATGCTATGTCTGAATTCACATCTAAACTAGTCAGTTTGACTCTCGTACTCCGAAAAAAGTTCACATAATTTGGAACATTAAAGAGTCAAGAAGTTTTTACCTACAAAAGAAACAACTATTTTAACTATTACAAGTTTACAACGAAGGAATTTATTGATAAATGAAATGTAAGGTAGACGGAAAATAGACAATAGTGACGAGCATACCCTGCAAAGGGAGATAAAAGGGCGATCAAGAAAACTTGAAGTTCCAATTCCAATATCTGGCTTCTTTTCCCCAAAGAATTCATTGATTGCTCTATGCTTTATAAGTATCCCTGAACTTGATACTAATCCAGTAAAATAGCTCCCAACAGTGTGCAACTCTGTTCCTTTAACACAATCAACACTTAAATACTCCTTAAGAAAACCTTCCACCATAAGTCTAGGCACACTTGTGAAAACCACTTTAGACCCTGCTGATATTAATACCTCGTAAACATGAACATTTAAATTTTCAAGAAAAAACTTAGGCAAAACAGCTCTTCCAACACTGTCCATATCCATTAATCTTAGCCCACAGAATGTAATAAAGATCATAACTCTTAACTTGAGTTCATAATCAAGAACCAATAAAAGGGGACTTGATAGAAGTAAGAAGAAGGCTCTGAAAATGCTACCACCTTCAAAAGCAACTAACATGAAATATGGAAAGAAAGATTCAGATCTAAGAAGTGTGCCCTGAATGTCACATGCAACTGTTTTTGATTTTCTTCCATGTATATTACACTCCCTTAAACTAGGGTACAAAGGAATTGGATGGGATGATCTAAAAGATGATGAGTTTTTGAAAAAGAAACCAGAGTTTTTAACCTTCATTGCAGCTATGTAACATGAGTTTGCCAAAAGTATGTACAGTACTACCATTGGGAAAACCATGTTTTTCACTACCATTGGGAAAACCATATTTTTCACTGGCAATGTCATTGAAGATGAATAATGGAAAGAGAAGAGAAAGAGAGGGAGGGAGAGAAAGAAGGGCAAATTGGAAGATATGAAGAAAATAGGAAGAATTTATATGATTGGGAAATTGACGCATATATACCAGTCAGCAGTTCTTGGCACCAAATTAGTCAAGAATTAGGTGCGGCAACAATTGGCATTCTGCTAGCCAACTCTTCCAAAAGAGACGAAAGAATCAAGGAAGTGAATATTCTCACCCAGATTTCACTCAATTGAAGGATTGTGGGAGGTGTTCATAACACGCCGCCGAAGACAATAATAATTCTAGAAAGATCTTTTCGTGTTGTAAAATTTATTTACATGTCAAAGTTGAACTTTAGAAAAATAATTCCAAGGAAGAATTAAAATGGTGTTATGTGGACTTTGAATTAGTCTCCTTTTTAATATTTAATATATATTCCATATATAAATAAATATTAATTATAAGTACCAAATATATATATCACACATATATATATTTCAATCAAGAGATATAATTTAATTTTCTATTCCAAATAGAAAAATTTAATTTGTTCACAATATTAATTATATTCTCTGTGCTAGCAAAGAATATAACAATATTTTATTTGTACTAATAACTAAATTTATTTGACTAAATTAAATTCTTTAATTTAATTATCAAATAATAAAGTAATTCATCCTTTAGCAAAGATCAGAACACTCGTTAGTGTGCGACCTCATAGGTTCAATACTAAACCGGTAGTAAATTGATCACATCAATATACTAATCAAGGGTGGCATCTAGCAACACTCCTCAACGACTGGATAGCATAAGTATATAATTTACTCTCAAGAACCTGTAGAAGAATAATGCATTAATCCCTTATGTCCTTATAGCTGTGGGTCACCCTAGGATATGGTTCAACTGTCAAATCCTAATAGGCGACCAACTATGTGTTCATGTAAAAAATAATCGACCATTGAACGACCTAAGAAACTCTTTTCTACTTGCATTCAATCGCCCTGGCCAAGGTCTTAATTTGGTCGGTTATAATTCATAACAAGATGGAGCTTAAACTCATTACCAAGAGCTGACAGATTCCATCTTGATCAATCACTGATTCTACAAGTATGTAATCGTACCCAATATCCTTTCAACTATCGCCGTAGGGCCATAGGTGTCTAATGTCAAAGCACAATAAATAACTTGTCAATTACTATGATGATATCAAGTCAAAGGAAACTCTTACATCACATTCTTCAAGAGAATATCCTATTAATAGTTTATGGTAATTCTAACCATTAGGAATTATCCAATAAATCGGTTCAATGATCATATCTCTATATACATCATCTATTGATGTAATTTAGTTAATGAGATCAACTAATCTTTATCCCATAAAGACGATGACATAAATATTGATCTAATCGGATTACCAATGTCCAAATTAATAATCCTATGATCAAGAACAAATTTAGATTAAATTATAAGAAACTTCACTCCCATTATCATAATCTCCATCACGATGACAAATCCTAAAATTTAATCAAGGACCTTATCAAATTAATCAAGCAATTAATAATAAGTATGATAAAAGAATATCAAATGCCATATATTTTTATATCAAATAACATTCACAAAAATATGTTCAAATTATCAAATATGAGATTGGATCTATGGCATATTTAATATATCCCTAACAATCTCCCACTTGCACTAGAGCCAATCGCTCTTGTATTTCATTCCCAATTTTCACTTGTGCTTGTCAAACTCCTTTTCTCCAAGAGCTTTAGTGAATTGGTCTACAACATTTTCCTTTCCATCAACTTTTTAAATCTCGACATCTCCACGTTCAATGATCTCTCTTATCAAGTGATACATTCGCAGAACGTGTTTGGATTTTTAATGTGATCTTGGTTCTTTTTGCTTGAGCAATGGCTCCAGTATTGTCACACAACAATGGAACTGCACCTTCTATTGAAGGAACCACACCAAGTTCAGTTAAGAACTTTTTCATCCATACAGCTTCCTTAGCAGTTTCACCAGCTGCTATATATTTTGCCTCTGTCACTAAATCAGCTATTATAGCTTGTTCGGAACTTTTTCAACTCAGTGCACCACCATTTAAGGTGAATACATAATCAGAAATAGATTTGTTAACATCTCTATCTGAAGAGAAACTTGCATTAGTGTAACCTTCAAGTTTCAACTCAGAATCTCCATAAATGAGGAATTGTTCTTTAGTCCTTCTTAAGTACTTAAGAATGGTCTTCACCACCTTCCAATGTTCCTCACCAGGATTTGCCTGATATCGGCTAGTCACTCCAAGTGCATAAGCCACATCAGGATGTGGCTTTGTTATGGTATACATGATAGCTCCCACTGCACTAGCGTATGGGATCGTACTCATGTGTTCTCTCTCTTCAGGTGTTTTAGGACAATTCTCCCTAATTCCAGTGCCTATCGGTAGATAGCCTCTTTTGGAATTATCCATGCTATAACTTTTCAAAATGGTATCAATGTACAAAGACTGGGAAATTCCAAGTCGTTTCCTCGATTTATCTCTATAGATCTTTATTCCTAATATATAAGCTGTTTTTCCCAAGTCTTTCATGGAGAAGTGTTCAGATAGATAAATCTTGGTACTTTGCAGTGCCGGTATGTCATTCCCTATGAGCAATATATCATCAACATACAACACTAAGAATATAATTATGCTCCCACTAACCTTTTTGTACACACAAAGTTCTTCTTCGCATCTAACAAAATTGAACTTTTCAATTGTCTTGTTAAAGCGAATATTTCAACTTCGAGAAGCTTACTTTAGTCCATAAATGGATCTTTGTAGCATGCAAATTTTATTATGATGAGATGGAGATGTGAAACCTTCAGGTTGTGTCATGTACACATCCTCTTCTAGCTCACCATTAAGGAAAGTTGTTTTCACATCCATTTGCCATATTTCATAACCATAGTATGCTGCTATAGCAAGCAAAATCCGAATTGATTTGAGCATTACCACGGGAGAGAAAGTCTCGTCATAGTCGACTCCTTCTTTCTGATGATATCCCTTGGCAACGAGACGGGCTCTGTAGGTCTCCACCTTTTCGTGTGCTCCAATCGTTTTCTTAAAAACTCATTTACAAGCTATAGGTTTTATATCCTTTGAAGGTTCAACTAAAGTCCATACTTTATTTTCCTTCATGAATTCCATTTCGGATTCCATGGCCTTTTTCCATTTCTCATAATCAGAACTTTGTACAGCCTCTTCATAGGTCTTAGGGTCATCATTATTATCATCAATCTCATTTGATACATCATCTTGTACCATTAGATTTAATCTAGTTGGTACATGACGTTCTCGTGTAGACCTTCTAAGAGGTGTTTGTACAACTTGTTCACATTGTGCTGGATTTGGTTGTTGTTCAATTTGGTGTGGAACTGGTTCATTAACCTGTTCTTGAACTTCAACCGTTGAAGATGGCAATTTCCTTGTCAACTTCAAAACATCCAATAAAGGTTCTTTAACTTATGTCTCATGATCTTGATTTTGTGTTGATTCATTAGTTTCTTGAACATCATCAAATTCTATTTCTCCACTATAATTTTCTTCCAAAATAAATTCCCTTTCCAAAAAGGTTACTCCTCTAGCCACAAACACTTTATGGTCAGAAGAGTGATAGAAATAATATCTCATTGTTTATTTGGGATACCTAATGATCCTACACTTATTAGATCTTGAGTCAAGTTTATCACACTGTAGTCTCTTAACACAAGCTGGACAACCCTAAACTTTAATGTGTTTAAGGTTAGGCTTACGTCCTTTTCATATCTCATATGGTGTTGTAGAGACTGACTTAGTGGGAACTTTGTTAAATAAGTATGTTGCTTCTTCCAAAGCATATCCCCATAAATTTATTGGAAGATCAGTTAACCCCATCATAGATCTCACCATATCTAATAAGGTTCGATTTATCCTTTTAGACACACAATTGTGCTGTGGTGTTCCTGGAGGTGTCCACTGCGAGAAAATCCCATTCTCTTTGAGATACCTAGTAAAATCTTCACTAAGATATTCTCCACCTCTATCAGAACTTAGTACTTTCATACTTTTACCAGTCTGTTTCTCAACTTCACTACGAAATCTTTTGAACATTTCAAAAAATTCAGATGTGTGTTTCATAAAATACACAAATCCATATCTTGACATATCATCAGTGAAGGTGATGAAGTAAAAATATCCACCTCTAGCTTGAATTTTCATGGGCCCACAAACATCTGTATGAATTAGTCCCAATAATTCATATGTTGTTTCTCCACTTCCGGTAAATGGAGATTTTGTCAATTTTCCTTTGAGACAAGATTCACAAGTTAGATATGATTCAAAATCATACTTATCAAGGTACTCTTCCTTGTACAACTTGTTAATTCTTTTCTGTCCAATATGATGAAGCCTATAATGCCAAATGTATGTATGATTTACTTGATCATCTCTTTTCCTTTTAAGACTAGAAACATGCATAATCGAATTAGCATTCACATTAGGTAAAACATAAACATCATGTTGGAGATAGCCATTCACATATAAATCATCACCATAATAAATAGAGCAAATACCATTGCATATGTTAATGTGAAACCCACGTTTGTCCAACATAGAAGCTGAAATTATGTTCGAAACAAATTTAAGAATATAATAACAATCATCTAGCATAAGTACTTTGCCCGAAGGCATTATTAAAGAAATTGATCCTACAACTATGACTGCAACTTTTGCACCATTTCCAACTTGTAGATTAACTTCTCCTTTCTTTAGTCTCCTACTTATCTTGAACCCTTGCAACATATTGCAGATGTTATAACCACTGGCAGTATCTAATATCCATATTGAAAAATTAGTAGTAGCTAAAGAAACCTTGAAAACATTTTTCATTAATGTCTCACCTTGTCTCTTGTCCTTTAGAGTTGCAAGATACTCCTTGCAGTTTCTCTTCCAATGCCATTTCTTCTTACGGTAAAAACATTCGACATCATTTACTGACTGCAAGATCAAATCTTCAAAAAT